ATATTATCTGTGAAATAAACAAAACATTTTGAGTAATTAGCCTACTTAATAAGAATTCAAATTATAATCCAAATTTATTGGTTTTTTTTTTTTTTGTTTTAATCTAATTTTTGTTATATTGAAAACATGTGTATTTGACTTGATGCTCTTATTTAAGGCTCTCGTTCTCTTCATGTCTACCTTGGTGCACCAATCTCCTTGCCCTCATTTGCCCTTTCGCCCTTCTTTTCTTATTCTACACTTGATATACACTCACATTACAAATACAATCCAATTACCGTATAGAGAAAGGCTTTCGATTCATCACCTCAATATATAACTTTACTGCAGATCAGCTCCCTTGCGGATCGATTGAGGAGCTTTCCGTTAAAGATGGCGCTGATGTCGCCCAGAGGAGTGAGCGCCAGTCGAAGTAGTTGTTTCAGCTTCAGTCTGCTGCTATCTGGCCTCATCCTGTGCGTTCTGCCACACCTGGAAGCACTCGAAGGTGTTCAGATTGTTTTTGTTTTCTTTGGTGAAAGGCCGCATATTGAACCCGATCTCTGTTTGCAGAGGGCGATCCATGTACGCTGAAGGGCAATCTGGCGGGTGTGTGCCAGGGCTCCTCCAAATGCGTGCCGCGCATCAATAAGTACATCGAAACGAAGAGATTGACGCCCAGCGATATACCCAGCTGTGGCCTGAGCACGCGGGAGGAGATCGTCTGCTGTCCGGTCGCCGAATGCTGTGGAGATGATCAAAGGTAAGAAAGACACAGAGAGAGAGAGAGAGAGAGAGAGAGAGGGTGTGTTTAAAAAATGGATGGGAATTTGTTTTTTGTTGCTTTTGTTATTGTCCCTCCCCCGAAGCTATGTGATCCACGTTGTTGCTCGTTCCATAATTTTAGCCACTCAAGAAACCGGGCTTCTAACCTTGTTTAATCTAATTTACGTGCAGCCCAAGTAGCAGCTCAGTGAATGAATTGCCAACACGAAAATCGGACAACGCAGAGCACGCTTGGAACAATGTAGGTCCGCCTAGCAGTGGCGAACTGACATCGTCAGGACGTGCCACGCCTAAAACTGACAACTCGAATATATGGAAACCGAAACTGGATCCCGATTCGCCCTATTTTGATTTTAACCAAATGATGAGTGGAAAGCAAAATCCACAGACACTGTCCGGGAATAGGGGTGACAGTACAATCAATGAAAATGTAGCAGGAGGAGCATCTCATCTTTTGATCTCGCACATGGGTGCAGGGAGTCAGCCATTTCCTACAAGGGATCCGCGACCAATACAAAGCGCATCTACTCCAGCTGCACATAATCAAATACACTATCCGCACCATTGGCCTGCTCCCAGCAGAGAGCCAAGAATCATTAACAAACCGTTTTCGATTGAATATCCAAGGAGGATCATGCCATGGCCAAATCCAAGCCATTCAAATACTGCAACAGATCAACAACCAACTTGGCAGCCTCTCCAAGAATATCCTGTGCCTTTTAACGGAATCCAAGTGCCCCAGAGCAATGGCAATAATGAATGGAATTGGTTTGTGACAGCTGCATTTAAGCATTTGCAATTGAACATGGATTGCCGCTAGTCTCTAGTACCTGAAACAGTCAGCTAAGTAAACCTTTCTCTGGTTCTTTTGTTTTCCAGGCAAGGGACCACGACGAAATCACCTCTTCAACCCGCTCCCTCACCACGAACTGATGTACCGCGACCATCAGTGCAAGGTGTGTATTAAAGGGGGCTTCTAGACTATTGCCTATATGTTATTTAGCGAGTTTCGATAGGATGAGCTCAATAAGGGATACTTTAGTAACCCGTGAAGCGCAGTCAAACTGAGGTTTAAAACGGCCTGAACTCATGTGAAAAGACTGTTCTATTTGACTCCCCTTAAGTGTCTGAAGGAATGTTTAGAATTACAAACTAGAGAGTGTTGGGAAAATTCGTTTTCTCTATCAGTTTCAATAGGTTGATCATTGAAGTTATTCCATCCATTCCATCATGTTCAAATGAACAGCTCAGAGAACCGAGTGTATAAGTTTGCTTAATATCTTCGGCAGCTTGTCGGGCGATTGAACAACGTCAACTGGAGTATGGCTTAACCGAGCACATCTTGGATGGCATTGAGGTGGACCCAGCCTATTATCCGCATATGGCAGCAATAGCGTTTAATCAGTTGGGCAACATTATATTTGGTTGCGGTGGCTCGCTGATCTCAACGCGGCATGTCCTGACGGCAGCTCATTGCGTCAACGATCAGGATAAAACACCCGTTTTCGTGCGCCTTGGAACGGTGAATATTGAACACGTGAGCGAACACCGTCAGGACATTAACATAACGGTACGTGGCACGCCTACACATGCTAAGCATGCATTATACTCATATTGGACTCTCGCCGCCAACAACAGGACAACATCAGAATACACCCGGATTATGTTAGCACCAGCAAGTACAATGACATCGCCATACTGGAGCTGGCCGAGGAGGTCAGGCTGACCAATTATACATATCCGGCGTGCCTGGAAACGGAGCTATTCGATCCGCCATCGAACGCGAGTATCTATGTAGCAGGCTGGGGCGTAATGAACACGACCAGTACGTTATCATTTGAGCGGATTAGTTCGCACTGATTACTATTACTAATGCAATAGTTTAAATTTGTACAGCTCGTCGCACTTCGAAAATATTGCTGCGTGCCCCACTCACCGTGGTGCCGCTGGCCCAGTGCAACGACAGCTTTGCCGCGCAGCCGCTCAGCCATCGATATCTGGAGAGAGGCATCATCGATTCGCTGCTGTGTGCGGCGGACTTAATAAGGGGCACGAAGGATGCCTGCCAGGGCGACTCCGGTGGTCCCTTGGTGCTGGAGCGCGACAAAGAGAACAATAAGTACAGCGTAATGGGTGTCATATCGTCGGGCTTTGGCTGTGCTACAACCACGCCGGGCCTGTACACGCGTGTCGCATCCTATTTGGATTTCATCGAAGGCATTGTGTGGCCAAATGGGTTTGTATGACAGTACTGATATTAATGGATCCTCAATGTGTGTATAACAATAAATTCTAAGTATATCGATTTTAAATACAAAGCTTATATAATTTAGTCCTCGAAAACAGTAACTGTTTTCCGAATGAGTGAGAATGAGATGCATTTGCGGAGCAGTGTGGATCGCCTATGTTTGCAAAGCAAAATATTCACTCTTGAGCTTGGCCATCCTGATGTAACATTTAGTAGCATTAGTCTTAATAAATAAAAATAATAAAATAAAATTGCTTTAATGATGCGAAACATGATTTTATTTATAATGTTTAAATAAATTAAATAAAAATTATAGGAGTATGGTTCGAATGTCACAGAAAATTTGAAGCATTTTTTTTAATTCTCGTTTATTTACAAATATTTGATTTTAATTTAAATAGACTTCAAAATTGTTAGATTACTAGTTCCGGTTCTTTGACCAGTTCCTTATTAACGCGCTCTCTGCCATCCACATATTTACGTAAACAGAGCAGCTGTCACTCACTTTCACGCTCACTCTCTCACTCGACCTCTCTCTCTCTCACTATTAATCTCTCTCAAGCTCTCACCGAGTTGCACCCTAGCGCACAGCATTGCCAGCTGCAATAAACAGGATAGCCAAAGCTTTAAGCTTTTACAACTGCAGAGCTTTTGGTGTTTTTTTTTTCTGCTGACATTGAATGAAACAGCCGTGTTTTGGCCGTTACAAAACGCCGCTGCCGGAAAAGCAGCTGACGCCGTCGCTGCTGCTCCTTTAGCTTGGCCGCCCGATACCATCGTTCCACCGTCCCACGCTTCCACTCTCCCACCGTCCCACCGTCCCACCATCCCACCGTCCCACTCTGCCAGCGCCCGTCGCTACCCACACGCATTTGGTAGAGGCAACAACTGTTTCAGCTGCTTCTTAAATGCTGCTGCTGTCGCTGCGGACGCCTCAGTTGGTCGCGGGACTGCGTTGCCGTTAGTTCGTGCCCAGCATTTTGGAAGCGAACGGAACAGCCTTTCAGACTGTGCTTCATACAAAACATTTATTTTTTTCTAGTGCTATTTGGCAGTTACTGTTGCTGTTGCTACTGTTGTTGTTCTTGTTGTTGTCATCCGTTGCTGTTGCGCCGTGCAGCATGCAACGCTTTTGGCGCGCCTAGTTTGAAAATTGTTGTTAACCGTTGTGTAAATTGTGTGCGGCTCCGGTGTGTCAAATGTAAGTCTCTGTACTCTGTGTTGTTGTATGTTGCACGTTCCTTATCAACCGTCGCATATTGACGCATTAATCACAAGCTGGGAAATTGATTCCAATTGCGCATCTGCTGCCTCGATAAGCATCATAAACACTAATAATACAAAAAAAA